CGACTTTAACCATGGTATCATCAACTTCTTCAATAGTTGCTTTACCATCAGCTTTAAAACGAAGAGTTTTTGTACCACTTTTAACATCACCTGTCTTACGGCCACGTTTATGTGGTTCAATTTCTAGAAAAGAGAAAACAATTATTTTAAATTAAGTACAGGAAAATTTTTATGAACAGACGAAATCCAAAAGCATTTGCTTCAATTAGACGTAATTTAAATTTTGAACCAATAGGAATATCTTTCAGCGCTTTAGCTACTTCAAAATGGCGTGTATCAGCAAATGATTTATCATTTATTTTTTCAATATGATCACCAATTTTAACAAGGTTATTAAGTCGATCAATGACACTTCCTTCTTTGATTCGTTTTATAAAAGAATAACCTAATTGATGACAATCAATTATGAATATTATTTATTGTTACCATTAAAAAAATACTGAAACAAACCTGCTGCATTGTCAGTAATAGTTAATCCAAGAGCTGCTTCTGATTTGATAACTTCTAGTTCTTTGGTTTGTCCTTTGACATGTGCAAATATAAAATCATCTAAACCCATTTGTCCACCTAATAATTTAGTCATGTCAATTTTATGTGTATTCAATGTACAAAATAGAATCTTTAAAATAAAAATATATATCTTCGTTAATACCTCATTTCAGTAGCAAATTATTCTTACTGTGGATGCTGATATTTCAAAACAATCAGCTATTTTTTGATATAATTCTTTAGCATTACTAAAACCTGATATTAGACCAGTTGGACTACCATGTGCTAATTGACAATGAAATACGAGTTTTGTTGGATTATGATGTTTATTATTATTAGAAGACTTAGTAGTAGTTGGAAGATGATCATTTGAAGAAATCGATTTAGAAGATTCTTTAGAAGGAGTTGTTCGTGTTGATGAACTTGCATTTACAGTCGTTGTTGTTTCTTCTGGAGTCGATGATGAGATACTACCACTTATTACAGTTTTTTTCTTCGATTTTAGTTTATAAAAAAATGGCATGGTAAAGGAATAAATTATATTCTATTATCAATGTTATAATAACAAATGACGATATAGCAAGATGTATATACTCATATATATATCTGAAGTTTACTTTGAGTCAACAAAAGTGTCGTCTTTCGCAAACTTTTGTTGCAGTCGGATAAAGAAATAAATAAGATTTTAAGACAAACATAGATTTCATTGGTTGAGTATTTCAAACAATACAAAACACGAATTGTTTTCACAGCCATTTCGTTAGAGTATGTTCTCCTTGGTGACACTTACACTTAAGGTATTATATTAAATATAAGAAAGAAATCTTTCATCATCTACTATTTGTGTTTTTGTATGGGAAGCCCGTGTGACTTTTGTTATTATAGAAGAAAAGAATATAAAATGCTGCGACACAATGCAGCATAATATTATATCGAATGCAGTTTTAAAAATTTTCTTTTTGATACAATTATGGTAAGAAACAACAAGAAAAAAAACGACTTNGTTGTCTAAGTGGTGATCTATTTAAGTGTAAATAGGAATGAAAAGAAGTAGAAATGAACTCGATAACATATATACACATTTATTTATACGAAGAAACAAAAGAACGCAAGAATGAAAATGGCTATTTTTTAGAAGAAGATAGTCATGTATGTCTACATAAATTATTTATCTATTATTATGCACTCAATGTCTAGGATATATTTCAAAGATTACAATAGAATGATTCGATCGTAAGATAGAATTCTTTTGTCTAAATGTGTGCATAAGAACTTATCAGATTAACATGAATACACTTAGTAGGAATGGAAAAAAGAAGTGTACATACATATATAGATAGTCGTAAATTTCTAGAATTGCTTGTTGCGCTTAAAAAGAGAATGAAAAAAAAATTAGCTGAAATGACAGACGCAACTTGAATCTTGTTGTAGCCAACTGTAAGATCATTGGGCATCAAAATTATTTTTCAGGGATGTTCCGGGTTGAAAGTTCGGGAGGGAAGGGACACCCATAATCTTGAAAAATATTTTTCTGTTGGATGGCAGACAATTTTTTAAAATTTTTATTGTTGTCGATTTTGGGGGCTTATATATTGCAGAAATCATCAGTTCCTTTAAAAAATTTTCGACCTCTACTTTTAATCACTTTAAGACACTCAGTTAACGTTCATCAGAATAATTCGTCTATTAATTATATACCAATTTTCACGATTTATAAATCTACGAATTTGTTTTCGTAGTTAATCTTCAGAGGATCCTAAAAGTATGACCGATAAAGAAATATGAATGGCTCTTCAGAAGTTCAAATGATTGACATTTTTCTTGATAGTTCGGTCGTATATTTATTATACTTTTATTGAATATATTTTTAGATAAATGTATGTGCCTATAGAAATCAAAACTAAAATAGTTGTATTTTTATGACCGAATTTTCATTAGCCACGATTCTAAAACAAAAGCTATAGATCCAACTTGCAAAAATACACCTATTGAACATTGCATTGAGATCGACCACATTCCAACAATTGTATGAAACAGCTAGTATCAAAAATCTATCACATTTTGGAAGACCTAGAGTAATAACTAAAGAAAAAGTCAATGAAGTCAACGATAATCGTAGAAAATGATCCAGAGTCAAGTGTTCAACATCTATAACTCTTCTTCCTAGAGTTATTGAACCAATTGTACCTTTCATGGCCTTAATAAGATATTAGCTCATAATTAAATGAATCGTAATTGGCAATATTAAACGAGGGGTGTGCAAAAGATCGATCATTTGATTCTGCCTCATTTTCACAAGTATCATTAACTTCATTGACTTTATCTTCAGTTATTGCATTAGATTCTTCCAGAACGTGATCGATTTTTCGACACTAGTAGATTTATGTAATAATTGGAATGTGGCCCTAGTACAATGTATAGCTGGGATATTTTTTTCTGCTTCTACCTATAGTTTTTTTAGAATCATGGCTGATTTCAATTCGGTCATGTGTAAAACTGTTTTAATGGTGTGACTTCTATAGGGACAAAAATGAACCTGAAATATACTGAATAAAATTGTAAAGAAAATTATCAAACATTTGAACTACTAAAGAGTTATTTATAGTTCTTTTTCGCTCGATCATTTGGAACAGCATATATGCTTGATTTTTTGGTAGCTTCTACGAACTATTGAGTTGTAACTTTTGTATTGAAAATTTTGCTAAATATCCTTTTTTGACATTAATTAAATCTATCTCTTAAACGGTTAACCATGAATGAGAAGATAATAAATAGATGCATCATTTTAGAAATTACAAAATCAAAGAGTCAGCTTAAGGACTAAAAGAAAATCATGTTACTGTCTTGTCATAGGTATTCATTAAACATATAGAAGATATGCAAAAACTAAAATCAATGGCATTTACATTAAATTGATTATATTAACCACCTTCATCATTATTATATTGAAACATTTTTCAAATTGTATTTTTGAGAATATATGACAACGAATCATGGCCAATTATTATGATTATATCAGACTTTGCACACAAAACTACACATAAGATTGAAAATACATAAAAACAAATCAAAAAGTATAATTGATGTGGATAATGTATCATCATCCACATGATATGTTCTTTGCTTTTTTTTATATGTAAAAATTATTTAAATATTTGATATGAACTGAAAAGTAGATTATTATTTATCAAATTGTATTAGTCATTATAGAACTGAGCTCATTGATTGTCGTCGATCAAAAGTATCGATTTGAATTTGTTTATACCCACTAATAAATTCAATTGTAATAATCAATCGATTGTACGAGATGAGGATTATGTTCTATATGAGTCATCAAATTGTATAGATTACTATTTTCATAAGATTGCCGACCGTACTTCATTATTTCTCAAAGAAGATACTAAATGCAAAAAAAGTAGGAAAAAAACATTAGATTTACAACAACGAAAGCTGTAGAAAATCTTCAACCGTTGGTTGATCCACTGGATAGGTACGAGTTGTAATCAATAAATTTCATGTGAAGTTACTGTTGAAAGATAATTTTAATCTTGTGGGAATAAACCATGTGATCACAGCACAATCATTTTATTTCGTCATTACATCATCCACAGCTCTATCGTGAATGATAAGATGAACTATTAACTAGAATACAGTAAGTTGTTATTTCATCATGCATATTATTGGAGAGAATGAAAATAAACTAAACAGTTTATCTTTTTCAATCAATATTTATTAATTTACAATAATGACTGTGCTATTTCTCTCATTATCGAAATATTTTATTGAAAAATAGAATAATATCTGATTATTTATCTTGTGGTTCACGAAAACAAAGCGAATAATAATTGCAGTATTAAAAATACATTGTGATTATCAATGGGAAAATTGAGACATATTCAAACATATGTGATACAATCAATGAGTAATTAAACTATCAATCTTCTTTTTTATTCTTATCATTTAAATTAAACTATAACAATAATGAATGAGATGTCAACAATAATCGAGAAGATAAAAGAAAAAGTACCAACCAACAAATAGAACACGTTAACTTAAGTAAATAAGAAGATAAAACATTTGAAGTATTGAAAAAAAAGATATCAACTTTCATATTATATATATGTGTATATCTGTACCTAAATAATGCATTGCTGTCTGTTGTCTTCGAGAACATCATCAATCAAGAATACGTAAGCAATTTGAGGTTTGATTGGTAAAAAGTCAATGAAAACACCATACATTAGCATTCACCAAAGGGCATATTTTAATTTCTTTTTTAATCGAATTCGGTGCACCAGCTGTGTACGTTTTATCTCTTTATAGATTTTTTTTTCTTTCATCATAGGCAGAACGAAGACAAAAAATCTCTTTTGACAAGTGGTACCATCATTAACTATCGTACAGAATTAACTATTCCTTATGCACATGTTATTCGCGACGATAAAATTCACAACGATTCGTCGAATGTAGTCGAAGCAACCGCTACCGACACTTTTTTGTTCAACGGCGAAATGCCTGACCGAACATATCAAGCTCGTATGTATTACTAAATATATTTGTCTCTATTGTAATAATATTTTTGATTTTTAAATCGATAAAACAAGAACTAGAATTTCTTCCATTCGACGATAATACTACAAGTCCCGTTGTATTAGCAACAACAAGCACAGATGGCCAGTGTTTACTTGAACGTCTCTTTTCAATCAATAATGTCTCCGCTGTTAATTCTTCGAAAAATATGTCAATGTCTGCAACTAAATCTACAAAAAAAAATTTATCGAATACCGTGCCGATGGCACGGCCATTCGACGAATTTTCTACAGGTATAGCAATAATACCGTCTGGTCCTTTAGATGGACAAAATTTTGATCAAACAATAAAATCAGACAAAGATTAATACCAAGTCTAACACAAGAAAAAATTATCGAAATACTTATAGACAATTTCGTGTGCTTATCTTTTTCATCAATATCTTATATCTATGTGAAAAGTGTGAAGTTTTAACGATATGTGCTACCACATAATTCAGCTCTTGTGTTGATAACATCTAAAAAAACTGTAACAACAAAACTTTAATTTAATCTGATTTTCTTTTTCTGATCATTGAATACAAACATGTTTTCAAGTGATTGTTTGATTTCTAACAATAAATCATTTAAGGTTACCCTTATTGAATAAATTAATATAGTATTACAAGATATGATAATAATTCATTCTTATTTACAATGCTTAATGAACAGTTCATATTTGAATCATTTATCATAGCAAATAAAACAACAATCATTTGAATTTAGATTGAATTGTGTTAATGTTGCACTCGAACTAACTTTTTTATTACAGTTTTTTTGTATGACACCATTGATTCATGAATCATTCAAATAGCAATGATATAAATAGCAATATTTATTTAATAAATGATCAAATATAATCTATTTCAAATCTATGGAGTAAAGGAAAATTACATATTTGAAAAAAGAATGTTTGAATAGAATACATTCTTCTCTCATCAATAAATACACAAGATTTGCAGAGTTTTTTAATAAGAAAAATTAATATCTTTAGGATTATTTTTAGATACTTAAACCAAAAAGGAATATGTACGTCAGTGATTATTTTTATTTGCAAACGAAATGAGTCAGAAACTTATGAAATATTGATTTTTAGTGTGTCAAAAGCCAAAATTAAACAGTGTCCAATATCATGCAAATAGTGTTTTTCAATTTTTATTATAGCTTTTATTATGAAATGCATTTTTGCTTATTTATATCTTTCTGTACTGGCATCACTAATCGACTAAAAACGGTACGATCACGATATACATTTGTCGCTAGAAAGTCACATTAACGCAGTGCATATCCAGATCCAGGGCAAATGCAAAAGTCCAAAGTACATCAATTTGAATATAGAAAATATTATATTTGCTGATGCATGTCTACTGTTCTGAGAAACTGATATCATATTAAGGTGATGATACTTTAAAAGATGAATATGAACCATCTGTCACATAGATGAAAATTAATTAATAGAAAATAGAATGTTGTCGTATATTACTCCATCTAGATTTTTTATCTCAGATAGGGTGTTAAATATTCTCAAAGGAGAAATATGCAATATCAGAATTTGTTACTACAGGATTTATGCCGAAGAGTCTAAAATTTCAACTAGGCAAATATTTATGCAAGAAAGCATCATTTTTTTTCTAAAGAAATATTCGACTATTATTAATAAAATTTGAAAAACAAACGATTATTATTTGATACTGAATAAGAATATTTAGCCTTTTAATTTGAACAGGATACTAATCTTTAATTACCTTACATAAATATACTACTATCATTTCATCATCAAGACAACGATATTGCCTGAAAAGAGTTTCAAAATCCTCAGAACTTAATGAAAAAATACAGTCAGACTTATATAAATTCATATTGCTTAACTTCTCTCTGAGATCATTGTCACAACTACTATTTTCGGTAAATTTTCTTGATAAAGTTTTAGAAAGCTGTAAGAACTTTATTCTTTGATAGTGACACACTAGCTTCAATTACTTTAAACTATAGCTATCACTTAAAACTTCTCCCCCTATAAAAGATCCACCTGCGAAAAGCAAAGCAAAGTTGATAATAGAAGATCTAGATCTCGTGGAAAAGTCTTTCATTCAAATGTTTTTAACCTTTTTTTTCGTTGAAATATTATAGTGAATTGTGTTGATTGGAAAATAAAAGTTACGAAAGAATAGAAGAGAAAGTAATAGTTTATGTATAACATAACAGGCATATATTTTCTTCGGAGAAAGAAAAAAAAACTTTGTCAGCTGGAGTGTAAGCAAGAGAAAAGAAGAGAGCTATAGATGGTAACAGGCGGAGAGAATAATTAATATTCAACTTCATTTATATCAAAAATAATATAAATTTAGTAAATATATAAAATATGAAGAAAGAACATCTTGACTACTTTATGATGATGAAGATTCAAATTTTGATAATTGTGGTAGTTCTAATGATAATTCAAGTATTGATATTACTTTGATGATTGGTGAATATGAAAATATAATAAAAAAACACGATGGATGAAACAAAATCAGAACTCTTCTTTTAACCTCATAATCAATAACAAAATGGAATGACTCACTTTAAATCAGTTTATGAAAAAATGAAATTACACTGTAGCTCTTCTTTTTACTTTTACTTTGTATTTGACACATAATCATAGCGGACTAACTAAAATATGATAACGATATTCGATCCTTTATAGATACGCGTCCATATCAGAAGACCACTCATAATAGAAATCCGGGTGTCTTTTTATCGTGTGATAAGGTTAAATCATAACATTCACTAGATAAATCCTGAGAAACTGTTTATTATATCACAGTGAGTACAATAATTTGACATTTAGTCAATGCATAACTCTAAAAATGATTAATATGATGATTAAACAGGAACCAAGTAGCTCGAGTTGTTTTTATCTAGATGAAAACAATTCTCATAGTTGTCGAATTTCATGGTTGCAAAATTTTCCGGTCGATATAGACATGAAGCAGGAAGATTCTAGTGCAAGATATCAATATAAAAATTTGAATGTCAACCCCCAGTTAGGCTCAAAAACAATTACAAAAAACGCAAACTCATTATTTTCTCTTTGCTTTTGCGTCATTTTTCTTAGCTTTCTTCTAATTTTATGCTCGACTGTATAATACATTAAATCATTATCTGTTTTCTTATCAAAAGAAGACCTTCTTCGCTCTTCATAGTGTATTAGATTATGCAAGTAGCCGATGGTGCATAAGAAAAATGTTAAAAAACCTTTATCATGCCAATGGGTTTGTGTGTCGGCCTCATGATCATTGATTAATTGTCTTATTCAAGACTCAACAACTGATACATAGCCAGACGTATACCTTTCATGAATATATATCATGTAAAATAATACTTTGAGTAAAAGATACTCAAAACAAACGTTCGTCAAACTGTTTTTATAAAGTAATATAAAATACAAGAAAATCAGAACCATTGTTTTATATTTCTCATCAGAAAGATATTTATATACATACCATTACAATATTTTCGTCGTTTTTATTTTTACTTCCATAAAGACAAAGTAAATCCATAGCCTTATGAAATATCAGTAAAGAGCCGCAAAAGCAATGATTAATGAATGAATAAAAATACTCTGAATTGTCATCGACGATAAATATCGTTGACTACCTAAATGATCCAAGAAAACAAGAATGTCGATTCATTAAAACATATACTCTTTTATGAATATATAATCATTAGTTTGATTCTTATCATAAAAATAGATTACTAATAAATCATTGATTATATCATTTCGAAAATATTTTATAGATTTAATATAAATAATAACTCATGTTTGGTTTGTTACTAAATTAGAAAAATGAAATAATACTCAATCATTCATTGAGTTTGATCATAAACAACGAAAAAAAATATACTGAATTCTACAAAAACGGATTTATATCTTCAATTAAATCAATTCTTTGAATTCAAACTTTCTCACAGTACACTTCCTCTTGCAATAGCATTCAAAAGTCATGATAATAATAATGCATGCCCACTACTTTTAATCACATTGTATGCATAGAAGTTTCAAACAAAAATAGAGCCTATATTGTCTAAAATATCGAAATAATATAAAATCTATCAGAACTTCAAGTTAACTGAACAACATGAATATCAGTAGGCGCTCTTATAGAATTTTGAAGTACAGCTTAACGTACATCATGGTCAGAGAGAGACCGAAGTCGAATCAAATATGGTCTCTTCTATTCGATTCAGTAGCGAGCTTGTGATTCTCTTTTAAATGCAATTAAAAAACTTACTTCACTATAGTATTTCGATTCTCCTCATATCTCGTTTTTGCAAGCTGTTTTAATTTAGTTCTAGGAGAAATCTACTAGTCATATTGATAAGTGTATTTTCTAATAGTGTCATGTTCTATTGATTTATTCTAAGACTATTAACTTTAGAGGTTAACGGAACAAGCTAAAAAATTTTTCTAACTTCTTTTGTGAGGGCGTTATCGGTGTTTCAGTCTCTCTCAGTATCACACTGATAAGTTCTCTTATCTTTATCATAGACTTTCACTGCTTCAATTGCAAGTAGTCATCATTATAATCATAAATAAATTGCAGACAGAATTTTTCACTAATCATCTGTAAGCTCTAATCCAATACTTGAGATCAACAACTGCATTTTGAAAATTTGACTCAAAAATTGAATATTGAGGTTGGCTTATTTTCAGAGTTGTTCCAATCGAGATAAAGCTAGAATTCAATCAGAATTAGTTCACTTCTCTTTTTAAAATTTTTGTTTTTTCCTGTAACAAGAAAACAATTCTTTGTGAATAAATTTAGAACCTGCAACAATTTATCATGTGGTTAGTACAAGTATCTCTTTCTAATAATGCTTATTATCCCATGTATGTTATGGACTCTTTTTGCAATTTTTCATATCTATCTGCTTGGATCGATGCATCTTGAAGAGATAAAAATCTAAGTGAATTGGTCTTCAGCATTAGGATACATTTCACTTATAACAATGAAGAAGTTCTCTCACTAATCAATATTCTTACTTTTATTGTTTCAGGATTCTTGTTTTTTCTTGATTTATCAAGCAAAATTTTTTTTACATATACTTCAACCAAGATTCTTGTCTGAAAAAAAAAACTTGACTTTCTCATAAGAATCATGTAAACTGAATCTTGCCTGATTCTCGAAATTTAGATTAGTCTTTGCAATAGTTCAATGAGACTATTTCTTTCTGTTGCTGTTTCATTTCCACTTTAAGCGTTTAACAAAATACAAAGAAAAAAATACAACAACAGCATATATTATTTCATGTAACTTTAGATGAAATCCAAAAAGGAGAACATTTA